GGTTCAATCCCCAGTACCAAAAAAAAAAAAAAAAAAAAAGCAGACCGGGCAGCTGTGGCTTGTGTGTCAGGGGTGCAGAGAGGGGCTGGCTGCTCGGGCTCACTGCTCACCAACAGCTGTGCAGTCCAGGGACTGACCCCAAGCTGCCTTTGCTATTTTAGTTGATTTCCTGGTTGTGGGGTGGCTGTGGCTCACGTTTGAGACTGGGGCAGCAGGAACAGCAGTAAGAAGCAGGCAGAGGCTTGAGATCCCTGAGCTGACCCGGCCCTGAGGGGCTCTTTAGGGGCCCTGGGTGCCCTTGACCCTGGGCTTGATTCCTTATGACAAAGGTCTGTCCTTGCTCTGCCTTTCAAGAGCCTTCTTGGTCCTCTGGGGCTGTTTAATATCTGGTACTGAAGAAAAAGAGTGGCCTGGCCCAGCTGTGTCTCTGGCCCCCAAGCAGAAGCCCTGGACGTGTCAGCTCAGACAGTAGCCAGATAGCCTGGTGACCTTCCTGAGGGACAGGGACCCCACCCTGGCTCTCGGCGACTATCTCTGCTCCCTGGCCCTGCAGCTACGACTCCCCCAGGATGCCGCCTTCGCGGCTCCTCTACTCTGTGCTCACTGTCCCTCAGGACCAGATCCGTCCTCCTGCTGCCTCAGCCTCCTTGCCCTGTGACTGGTCTGTCCACAGATCTGAGAAATCTCCGTGTGGTGGGAGCTGGCACTTCCAGCTGGTAGCCACATGTCTCCCATGGGGTGCAGGTGCTCTCCTTCGTCTCACTGGGCCCTCTGTCGTTCCCAGTGTGTCCCCAGGTTTGGCCAGGTACTGGAGCAGCGGAGAGTCCTCCCTGTGATCCTGGACTGAGTGTCAGCCCCGGAGCTTGTCCTGCCTTCGGCTCTTTGGGCCCGTGTTGGTGGCTGTGTGCAGATCTATGCCTGGAGTCTTGGCAGATGATTCCTTTTATCAGGTCTCTATTTGCTCTTTTTTAAAATTTTTTATTCTGATTTCCCCCCAGTGAGGTGGATTCCCCCTGTGGTTTTGGTATCTTTCTCATTTACCTACACAAATGGGAAGAGTAGATTTAACTATTGAATATTGGTTTGGAAAAGAGGGAGTCTCTTCTCTGGGCCACAGGATGGAGCACAGGGTGCTGTGAGCTCATCCCACACTTTCTCAGACCCCTGCCTGGGCACAGGTAGTGAAGCCAGGGCAGAATGCAATGTAGGGCCAGGCACCCCTGCTGAAGGGTGGCCTTACTCAGAGATCCTGAGGCCAGGAACACAGTGCAGGGGCTGGTGAGTGAGGGTGGCCACTCACGCAAGGGTCTGGACTCCTTGGGCTGAGGACAGAAGGGGGACCAGGCAGACAAGGCCTTGGCATCATATCTGGATGCAACGGGGGCTGGGGTGGTGTGCTGTGAGGAGGGCGCTGCAGTGGGACGACCACCTGGGGAGCAGCCCAGCAAAGGCACAGTGCAGGTGAAGACCATGGGTGGACACAGCAGGAAACCTGCCACGTTCTGGAGCTGCAGGCAGAGGGTTTGGATTTCACTCCCAGCTGGACTGGAGTTCTAGGCAAGTGGAGGGTGTGACTGGAGTTCTAGGCAACCTTCTGGCCACTGTGTTGGTGAGCATCTGCTGTCTTGGGTGAGGGGTGGCCACAGGATGAGCTTTGAGGAGGCCTGAGAAGCGGGGTGGGAATCCTGGCCCGGTTTTGTGTGAGCCAGAAAGTGGGGTGGGAAGACCCGGCCTCAGCAATGAGCAGGCACCTCGGGCTGATAGATAAGCAATCGGCCTTTATCTGAACTTGGAAATGCTACAGAGAGAGGCTCTGGATGTGCCGCAGCTTCTGGCTCCCTCTGCTTCTGCCCCAGGTTCTTCTTGAGGTTCTCCTGGGCTTCTTCAGGACAGATTCTGCTTAATGTCGCCACCGGGGTGGGAGGTGTAGGGTTACTTGGGGCAGCACCAGGAATGTCCTGGCAGGAGACAGGAGCAGACCGGTTGGGAGGGGCCCTGGAGAGCTGAGCACCAGCTTAGGACTCAGCAGCTTAGGACTCAGCAGCCCAGTCTGCCTGGCTCTGGTCTCCCCAAGAATCCCAGCATCCTGGCTCTCCACACACCAGGTGCTGCTGGGCCTTGGGCAGAGCAGAGCTCCGAGTCACTCTCTGGTTGGTCTGCTGAGAAGGAACAAGGCCTTGGGGCCCACAGGAGCGTCCCTCCCCTGCCCAGCACTTGCACTACTCAAAGTCCTGCTCCTCAGCTGCCTTGTGCCTGCATCCTGAGGGAAGGCAGTGGTCATCTGTGCCACAACCTACATCCCCATCCCACCACTCTCACCCACCTCCCCAGCACTCCTCCCCATGTCCAGAAGCCCTCCCATGGGCCTCCATGGAGCTGTTCCACACAGGAGCCAGGTGTCCTGGGTGCACACTCTCCCAGCTGGGCTCACCCTGGTCAGGACTCCACTCCCACTGCTGGCTCCTCCCAGGCCCACAGCTCCACCCACCCCCACTGCTGGCTCCTCCCAGGCCCAGGGC